GGTATGAGAATGGAAGGGGGGGGGGTACAGTGAGGACACTCCCTACCCCCTCACTCTGCCATGCTGGCGGCCTCCCCTTTCCTGGGAGGAACCCAATGGCCTGGGTCTGTGCCCTCATCCCCTCTCCCTCCTCCCTCTTTCCACCCACGCCTGGGCACCATGACATCACCACTCCCCAAGTACCTCTATCCCCTCCATGGAGGCCAACTTGACGTGCTTGGCATCTTCTGGGCGAAGGGCCTGGAACCCAGCGCTGCCCCTGGCACGCTGGCAGCCCCCAGGCCTCTCCCTCTTCCCCCTCCTCAAACAGGCCTCCCCCCGGGGGTGGAGACCTGTGGTGCCCAGATGCAGGTTCAGGACCCTCCAGTGCCAGGGGCGGGGATAGCACTGACTGGGAAACAGGCTGGGTTGAGGTTCACATCTCTCTGGTGTGGCTGCTGGTCTGATGGGGCCAGAAATGGGCTGGAGAGGGCAGAGTCTGCCTATGATCCTGGTCCCCTGGGGCTCTCTGAGGGGCCCGAGTCATCAGTCTAGCCTTTGTACCCCCTGGCATCCCTGCCCACCTCCTAGAATCCCTACACCTCCTGCCAGACTACATCTCCCCTCTACCCCCAGCTTCCCTCAGGCCCCTCCAGACTCTGCTCCCCCAGGGAGGGCTCTGGGTCCCCCATTTCTGTCCCCCACCTCCCCTTTGGCTGGCACCTGGTGGGAGTGAGATATGCAAATTAATTCCTGTGTGACTCAGGCCCCTCCTTCTGGTGCCCCAGGGGCCAGTACCTTGTCTGTCCGATCCTCTCTTCCCACTCCCAGGAACACCTGTGGCCCAACCTTTTTACCATTTTCAGTCTCCTATGTTCTCCCACTTCCCAGGCTGGTTCCAGAGTGTCCCCGATGTACCCCCTCCCTTAGCCAGCTCACTCTGGTCTCCACAGGATTCACCCTGCCACTGAGACCCTTCCCGGGAGTTTCCTACCTACTTGGGCCCAGGGCCCCAGGCACTTCTGGGATCTGTCTCTGCAGAAGCAAGGGACTGTGGGAAAAAGCCAGAGCTCAGTGAAGAACGAAGACCAGCCCCCTTCCCACACATCCCATGGGCTTCTGCTCCAAACTCTGTCCACCCTCCCCCAGCCGAGCCTGCAACCTCCTCTCTGTCCCCTCTCTGTGCCCTCCCCAAGGCATGCGGCCCTCTCCCTGCCCTCAACCATCATCCTGTGTTCATCCCGAAGCTGGCCTGGTCTGGCCTCCCTGTGTCCCTTGGACCCAGGCCCCAGGCCGGGCAGGGCCTCAGCAGGCCTGCAGGGGTCAGCCTTGCAGTGGGCAGGCCAGGCGGCTTCAGGGAGGGAGGAAGGGAGGGAGAGGTGACCTTGCAGTGAGTGAGCGCACAAGGCCAGAGAGGGAAAGTCTGGGCCAGTGCAGCAGGGCTGGGAGAGAAGTCCGATCCTGAGGCTGCCTGCCCTTCGAGCTTGTCCCTGGGGGGGTAGCAGTACTCCAAGTCTTGTCTGGCCCACCTGTTAGTAGGCCCTGGCCTCCACAGCAACTCTGCCACAAAGGTCATTCTTAGGGAGTGTAGGGGACACAATGCATGGGGCAGTGGGCCTTGGCATGGTGGGTATCCTCTCTCAAGGCAGAAGGATCTGTGAGATTGTCCAGGCCAACCCTCCACCCACTGGGCACAAGTTAAGGGCAGAGGCCATTGGGTGATTCATGGGGCAGGAGTTAGGGTTATAGCTGAAAGGGCCACCAGGATTAGGGACCAGGGTTGGGGTGTGGGAAAGTCCGATGAGGCCTGACTCTGACCATTTTGCTGTCAAACTCTAGCCCCACCCCTATCTACCCCTCCACCCCTCCACACCACACCTCCCCCCGCCCACCACCGGCCCCATCTGCACAGGCCCAGACCGCCCTGGCTTGTGTGTCAAGCTTGGGCCCCAGGCTAGCACTAAAGAGCAAATGATCTCCCAAGAGGCCATGGCCGGGAGTGGGGGCCTGGGGCTGGGCAGATCTGAAACCCTGGGTGGGTGGGATGGCTTCTGTGGGCCTAGTGCCCCCAAACTGTGTGTTGCTATGGAGACAGGACCCTCCTGGGCCTTGGGTCATGCTGTCTGCTGACCCTGTGGGAATAGCTTGACCAATGGGGCTGGGTACTCAAGAACTGGGGGCTGGTGGGGAGGGAGATAGCTGCAAAGCCCCTCCCGGTTGGGGAAGAGAGGCTACAGCAGGCTGGATTGGGGTGGGAACACGCAGGCCAGCAGGTGACAGGTGAGGGACAGCTGGAAGGCAGGGGAACAGGTGGGTGTCAGGCCCTAGGAACCTGGGCCCTGCCCCTTGCCAACCCCGAGCTTGGGCCCAAGGCGCACTGAAGGCAATATAGAGGACCAGGGAAGGGCTGTCCCCCTCCGCACCCCCTCCAGCCCAGCCCAGCAGGAGGCCTTGAGGGAAAGGCAGGGGAGGAGTGGGCGGTTCCTTCCCTGTGGCACCCCTCCTTTTCTCCCACCCCCACTGCCCGCCCACTCTCTATTCTCTGAGGGACTTTGAATCCTTATTGAATCTGATGGACCGTTTTCAATAACTGCTTCCCCCAGGGGAGTGAGCAGGGAGAGGAGCAGTGAGGGGGGGCCTCGTGGGGGGGCAGGAGGCCCAGTCCTGAGCCAGGGACTCTTGGCTGGAAGGGAGTCTTTGGGACAGTCTCCTCAGAGGCACCAGTGCATCCCAGGTGGGTGTGGGCAGCTCTGCTCCGTGGGCAGCACCCAGCAGGTGGCACATGAGGCCGGTGAGGTCAGCTCTCTCTGTCGTGGCGGTCACTGGTCTGGCCAGGTGCCGGAGCCAGCCCGTGCCAGGTCCGGCCCGGGTGCCCGCCTGCCTTGCAAGGGAACCCCAGCCGGTGGTGCCAGTTCCACGGACACGGAGGTGCCTGACCGTCCAGGCAGTAGGGGGGGCAGCCTTGCTGGGCCCCCGTCCAACTCATGTCTAGAGGGCATGGCTTTGGTCTCACCCAGCAGCATTCCCCAAGGGTTGGAACGGAGTTGGCAGACAGCTTGGGACCTGTGGAAGGGGCTGGATGGTGCCCAGAGCGTGCGCCTGGAATCCTGGACCCCGTTGGTTTGGGAGGTGGGCTAGCGGTCATTGGGCCTGCTCTGGGGGGCTCTGTAACAGCTCCCACCCGGAGGGCCCCCTAGGCAGGGGTGCGTCCCCTGTGGGGCTGGGCGGGGCGCTTGGATCAGGAGCCGGGATGTTTGGGGAATTGATGTATTCTTGTCATTGAACGTGTGGGGCCACAGCGCGGGTGGAAAGCGAGGGCGGGGCCGGCGGGGGAAAGCACTGTGCCGTGTGTACCTACGTGCGGGTGCCGGTGCCAGCTGGACTGGGTAATAGCTGCGCTCGCTCGTCTGAGTGCCGGGCGGGCTGTAAACAGCAGCTAATGAGTGTATTTGTAGTTAGGTGCCTTGAGGTACACGGGGAGTTGTGACGGAGAGCGCTGGGGAGGGCGCCTCCCTTGGCCCTATATATACCCGGGCAGGCAGGGCCTGTGCCCTCCAGGGGCCCCGCCTGCCCCCTGCCACACCCTTCCACCTGCTGGCTCTGAGGCTTCCAACTCCTGGGAGCAGGGAGGGCCTCACCTGGCTGTGCGACGTGCATCGGTGTGGGGTGTTGGAGCTTTGGTGGGTACAGATACGATCATTTTCACGACGGCATGCGGGTCTGGCCAAGGGCACGTGCGCGCACGCGCACCTGTGTGTACTACATCCAATTCCCTGCATGTGTACGCGCCCCTCCTTCCGAGCCCTGAGAGGAGGCTGCCCCCACCCCCATCTTGGTAGTGGTCCTGGCTCCTTTGATGCCCTTCTTGGAAGCTGGCGGCTCTTGGGCAGGCTTGGGGGGACAGGGGGTGACCTGTTGTATCCATCAGAGGAAACAGGAGGGAGCCCCCCTGGGGCTCAGTTGCTACTTGCATCAGAGAAAGGGGAGACCTTGGGTCTTACAGAGAGCCTGGCCAACTCTCTGGTTCCAGAACCCTCAGGAGCCCCAGGAATGAGAGAGCAGGTGTGCCACCGGGCGGGGGCGGGGGCGGGGGGGTCAGCCCTAGTAGGTAGGGGTCTCACAGTGCTGGTTGATGAAGTGTGAAGCCTGCCCCCAGCCAGGGTGGGGTGGTGTGGGGTATGGGAGACCACAAGGGGTGCCTGCGTGAGGCCCCGCATGGGGGGGAGCAGAGAAGAGAGCTCTGTGGCTAATGTGTCCAATTAAATTACTTCAAACCCTGCCGCGGCAGCTGCTCCCGGCGGGGCCCTGGGTACAAATTGGATCCGTCTCATTACCACGGGTGGTGTCAGCGGGGCCAGAGAGCGGTGGCCAGCTCAGCCAGCACTCGGCAGGCCTTCTCCCCCTCGCTCAGCCTGGGCCCCCGACAGTCCCCTTGAGCCTTTGCTCAATCCAGTACCCCCTTGGGTTTCCCAGGTCGTGCACACCTCCTCGCCATCCTGACCCCCGTCCCTGGCAGCCCAAGGGCCCCTCTGAGCCTCACTTTCTTTCTCCAGGTATGGGGTTTCATGCTTTATAGGGGGTCCAGCGTAAGGAAGCCCCTCTCAGGTCACCCAGCACGTCCTGCGCCCTCCCTTGATAATAACAATAGCATGATAATAACAGCAGGAGCGCCTAGTATTTGCTAGGCACTCTGTGCACGTGCAGCAGGGGGTGGCTTGCTTAAGCGAGGTCTCTGGGGTCAAACAGCTATCTCTGAATCCTGGCAGAGACACTTGCTGCGCTGTCCCTGGAGCCCGTTACTCCACTATTCTGGCTTCAGTTTCTTTCTCTGTTAAATGGGTATGATGATGATTCTTATTTCCCAGAGGGTTGGAGGGTGAGGCTAGGTAAGGCGGGAAACATCTTTCGCAGAGAGCTCAGCACATAGTAAACACTCAGCCAATGACAGCTGTTATCTTGTCATTATCCTGCACCAAGTGATTGATGTCTGGGATGGGGGTTCCGGAAGCTCCAGGGAGGACATGCCTGCTTCAGCCCTGGTGGAGGAGGAGTCGGGGGGCGGGGGTTCCACTGAAGCAGTGTCAGTCAGCTACCTTCAGAACAGCAAAGATGTGTTGAGTGATCACTACGGGCCAGGTGCCGTTCTAAGAACATGACCTGTGTTAGCTCTTCTATCCACAGATGACTCTGGAAAGGGGGAGCTTGCAGTGAGAAGTTGGCTTGGGGTTCCAGCAAACACCAGCAGACCCAAAGAGCATGAGCTTTAGTCCGGGGCCTTGGGTTTTGAAGAAAGGCTAAGAGCTTGCCACGTGAGCAGTAGGGGTGAGGCGTTCGGTGTGGCAGGGGACAGCACATGCAGTGGCCCGGAAGTGGGGTCTCGTTCAGTTGAAGCAGCACTGAGTGCTTGGACGTGGCCAGAAGGGAAGCTGTTAGGGGACACTAGCCGGAGTTGAGGCTTGGGAAAGGTAGGTTGGGCCAGATTGTGAAGGTCCTGGCATTCTGAAATAGGAAAACT